CTAACTGTCAAAAAACATCTTCCTAAAATGGTCAAACCCGAGTCCAATCAAATCTTTGGGAACGTCTGGATTGGGTCGAAGCGATTCGTCGACCCTTAAGGTATCCAACCTATCGAAATGTTCTTGGTATTCTTCATATTTTTTTATCCACGTAGCTAAAACATTAAAAAAAAAATCAAATAATTTTATTAGAATAAGTAGAAAATATTATATAGGTAAATAAATCTCATTTAAATAAATATGTATTAAATAAACTATGTAATGCAATGAGAGAACTCGTAGATGGCCTGACTAGAACGAGTTTAGAACAGTGGTTCCCAAAGTGTGAGTCGCGACACATTTGAGGGTCGCGTTTAAAGAACTGAGGGGGTCGCGAAGTGGTTTCCAAAATGAAAAGAAACTTTTTTTACAAGGATTAATTATACTTTACAAGGATTAATTTTACAAGGACTAATTTACATAATTATTGTTGTTATTATTTTCACCACCTCAACAGCTGCAGGTAGAATCAAATTTTCAGCAATTGCATATGACGTACGGACTCTTGCAATTCGATATGCAGCCCTGTACCTTACTAGTAATACTTTTTCGTTTGTAGTGGTTGATGACGAAACAATCGCTTGTTGATTGTGAAGAGACTAGAAAAGGCTGTGGCTTTCATTTAAAACTGGCTAAAGCACAACCTGTTTGTATGGATGTTTTCTATTTAAATGCCGAATTAATTTCGAGGAGTTCATACTCAGGCTTTTGACAAAACTTCTCCACAAAAAGAACAAACTGTGGCTCTCCGAAAATAACTGTAAAGACATATTTAAGATCCTCATCACTGTACAATCTGTTTTTTCTTTTATTATTTTCCTTTCCAGGCGTAAATGGTTCTAATGATTTTCTTAAACATTTATCTATCTAATAAAATACCAAAGAAATCAAAGAATTTAATAATTCCATGTTTCCCACGGATTTCGAATTAACGGAGAATGTATCAGTAACATCGATACGCGGATGACACGGTAGTATTCACTGACAGTTATGAAGTCCTTCAGGAGTTAATGAATAGAGATGAGGACTTTCACTGAACATTAGGAAAACAAAATGTATGATGATCTCTAAGAAGGAACAGCAAATTGAAAGAATCAGTGTGAATGATCAACCAATAGAAAGAATAAAAACATACACTTACTTTGGTACGAATGTCAATGAAAACTGGGACCACGTTACTAACCAGAACGCTTTATTAAGAATGCAAAAAGGAAAAGAGTTGTTAACCACAATAAAAACAGCCAAAATTGAATAGCTCGGTCACATCATGAGAAACAGCGAAAGACATAGGTTGCTGCAATTAATTCTTCAATGAAAAGTATACGGAAACCGAGGTCCAGGAAGGCGAAGGATTTCCTGGCTAAAAAATCTACGTACGTGGTTCAACACAACAACCACAAATCTTTTCAGAGCCGGAGTTTGCAAAATACAGATTGCCATGATAGTCACCAACATCCGAAACGGATAGGCACTAGAAGAAGAAAAATAATGTATCCCACATACACTATATTACCACTTACCTTCTAATTCATCCATGCATTTTTCGTTGCCACCGTAATCTTTTGGAAGCAGTTCTGATGGAAACCGTTGTCTGAAGCTGTCTACAGTATGATGTATATGTAACTAAAAGAAAATAAATTTAAATGTTATTTTTGCTTAAACTAGTTCCCTTTGGAATTAATGTGTGGGACCATATATTGACCAAACTCATAGCAATCTTGTGAAATCATTATTTCAATATTTTAAAAAAGACTGCCACAATAAGTCAATTGTGGCGAATCTAATCGAAAGCCTTTTTGAAGTCTATGGATGAGTCGTGCATCTCTTGATTCACATTTAAACATCACTATGCAAGTATATTTAGAGCAAACATAGCATAACGCAAGCAGAGTGTCGAACCCTTTTCTAAACCACCACCGTGTATCGCTAAAATTAAGTACCAGCTTCAGATATCGGTTTCTTATATTTTCCATTTTTTCACATTGTGACTTAATACAGATTTTTTTGGAGTCTTCTGTTTTTATTTTTATTTTTACATCTAGTTATTTGTATTTCTCTAGACAGTCTTATTTCTCGTCGTTGGTCTCTTGTATCATTCATTTGTTCCTCTTGTTTTTGATAAACATTTATTATCCACTGCTTCTATCGTTGTACTTTACTGGCATTTATTTTACCTTCATTATTTTCAGAACCTGGTCATTGTGTCACTAATTCTCAATTGTTTAGTATAAGACATTTTTTATTCGCCGAAAATAAGCTTTTTACATTCCATTAAAGCTTCTATACAACGAATACGAATAGAATACAACGAATAGAAATAAAAATCAAAACAGCTAAAGAAATCTATTTGGTGAAGCAATGTAAAGAGATAGAAGAACTAGAAACAAAATATGATATGAGAAATATGTACAAAAAAATTAGAGAAGTGACTGGAATGGGTCGAAATAGACAGCAAGGACACACAAAAAACAAAAAAGGAGTACTACTAATAGATTTACCAGAGAAGTTAAGGCGATGGGAGGAGTACGTTAGAGAAATTTTCGAAGATGAAATGCAGAAAATACAAGAATTAAATTCTTTAAAGAGCCAGAAGATCACGATAGATGAAATCAAATATGCTATCAAAAAATCTAAAGACAATAAGGCAACTGGTTTAGATGAAATACCAGTAGAACTGTTAAAACTAGTAAAAGAGGATAACTTGGAAATATTGGCTGATTTATTCAACACGGTACGGAATAATACCACAGGACTGGCTGAAGTCAGCATTTATAACCATCCCTAAAAAACAAGCAGCAAAAGAGTGCTCTGATTATCGAACACTGAGCCTCATGAGTCATACTTTAAAAGTTCTACTAAAAATAATACATAAGAGAATATACGAAACGCTAGACGAGGATATTAGCGAGACGCAGTTCGGGTTCCCAAATGGAATGGGTACTCGAGAAGGACTATTTGCCATCAACATATTGATTCAGCGATGTCGGGATGTAAATGTTGATCTACACTTGTACTTCGTTGACTGCGAAAAAGCATTCGATAAAGTAAGACATGAAAAACTAATATCAATACCTATGAACAAGCGCATTGACAGTAAAATCATAAATATGGTACAAACATTATATTGGAACCAAAGTGCCATAATTCAAATTGATGGGAAACACTCAGAAGAAATGAGGATCTGTAGAGGAGTTAGACAGGGATGTGTTTTATCACCACTTTTGTTTAACTTATATTCTAAAGAAATTTTCCAAAACACGCTCAATAATATCGAAGCGGGAGTCACCGTTTTAATTAACAATTTAAGATATGCAGATGACACTGTGATCATAGCAACGAGTATAGAGGATCTACAACATCTTATCGAAAGCTTGAGTATAAATAATGCTGAGATGGGAATTACTATAAACGCTAAAAAAACTAAGTACATGCTAATTACAAAAAGACCACAAAATATACATCACCTATTGACAATCAATGGTAACGTGATAGAACGAGGAGAAAAATATCAGTACTTGGCAACTTTGGTCAATGAAACCATGGTCATACTGTAGAAATAAACAGGCGAATAGAGATTGCCAGATCAGCATTTATACGAATGAAGCCACTCCTAACGTGCAAAAATCTAAATTTGGAGATCAGACTATGTACCATTCGCTGTTATATATTTTTAATATTAATGGAGCTGAAACTTGGACATTAAAAAATGTAATTTAAAAAGAATCGAGGCCTTCGAACTCTGGTTATACCACAGAGTATTGAAAATATCATGGACAGATAGAATTACAAATAAAGAAGTACTGGAGAGGGTTAGTAAAAAAACAGAATCACCACTATACAAACCAGAAAACTGGAATACCTAGGCCACGTGATGAGGGGACCAAAATATGAAATTTTAAGACTTATAATACAGGGAAAGATTCAAGGAAGACGTTCTGTGGCCGAAGGCAGAACTCATGGTTAAAGAATCTACTTGATTAGTATCAAGGCAGATCGATTGATTTGTTTAGAGCAGCAAGTTCTAAAATAAAAATAGCCATTATGATTGCCAACCTCCGTTGGGAGACGGCACTCTAAGAAGAAGAAAGCTTCTATTTGCTTATGTTTAATAAAGCTTGTGGATTTTCTAAGCGACTATAACCTTGAAAATATCTGCGTGTCGGTTCGTCCAAAATTATTAAAATTTGTACATTTGAGGCGTAAATTTGTACTTTGCGCATGCATAATTCATAGCCGTTTAGAAAATCCACTACCTCTACACGAATTTTTTCTCAGAGTTACAAATGAGGAAGCGCTATAGCCTTATCATGTGTGAACATCCAAATTATAAAAAGATTACTACTTACCCTGCTAAAAAAGTCTGCCCTCATTACCGCTCTCAATATATTCATTATTATCTGAAAAAATGGTGGACAGTTGATGAAATGCACTTCTTTTAATCGCTCACCTAGTCCATTCTAAAAAAACATTAAACTAGTATAATATGTTCATCTTCCGCTATATTTTTCATTGATCTAAATCCTAATAGTGGTCTGAAAAGTTATAGGCCTTACAGCATGACAATTTATGCTTTTAAAGAAGTTTATTTTGGAACTTTATCCCTATAATGTCAATACATTCCGTACAAGTCTTGTTGTTCTGTAAGTTCTTGGAATGCCGTTATCCATCCTTTTCAATGTGCTAGAAGGGCTACAGATTACTATAGCTCCACTTTGATAACGGCTGCTTGATTGGAAGAAGAGCGCTATCCAGCGAGGAAAGCATTAAATTATTAGAGTAGATATATCTAAGAGAAAGCCAAATCTGAGGAAAAAGTTGGGTGTTATAGCACTTCTTTGTACAGATTCCACAATGTGCCTATTGCCAAGACCCTTTTGTAGACATATGCATTATTCTGATTAAAAAGGACTTTTTTCTTTAAGCCAGATCTGTTTGTAAAAATACTAGCTTTCAGTTTAATTTAAAATTAACAGAAGTAATTTACAGTTAAGATTATACCGTTTTAAAGATAGTCAATTAGCAAAATTACATTTGCATCACAAAATGACGGCTCCATGACCTTTTTCGTCCTTTTAACTTCGAAGGGTTCTTATCGAAGGGTCTTATCCAGCGCTTATATGGCTTTATACAAAAGAAAATCACTGTTGTTTTTTTTTAAAGAGTGCCAAGTGTTTTTTCGTAAAGTGTTATTCTAAAGCGTTTGTGGTTTGTAGTAAACACAAGCAACACATCTTTTCGCAGATATCAATACCATCAATCAATACAAACAAATAACCTTCTGCAGACTCTTAAAACTAGTTGAAAAGTCTATAGAATAGAATAGATCCCTCTTTCTTATTTTTGTTGACTTCCATAATTCAATTGACACAGTGAAAACAGTCGGTATCTTAAAAGTACTGTCATAATGCAGAATAGATCACAGGTATGCGAATATTATTCGAAATATACGAAAACGTGAAACCTTATGATTACTTTTTCAGGTAAGCTCAGAAAGTCTTTTTTGTACGATTGGAAAATTAGATAGTCCATGTATTTTATTTTCGTTGAGAGTTAGTCATAGCATTTGTAGTTTGCTTTAAGCAGAATTGTTCTGTCCAAAATTAGCAGCTTGTGTGATAGGTTGTAAGTGAGCAGAGAGCAAATATTTCCTCTGTACTCGATCCAACAAACGTGGGTTGGTTTTGTGAATATGGTAGACCAACGCAGATTATAGACCAACGCAGATTCTAGAACAACGCGGATTCTGGACCAACGAGTCCATACATCATATTGTTACAATGTGTCATAGGACAACGGGGCATATTTTCGTTCCCAATGATATGATTTTAAAGTACGAGGCATTGAATGAAAGGGGAAGGGCTAGTGAATCCGAAGACATGGAAAAATCAAACAAGGTGGCATTACCAAATGGGCATTATGTCATATCTTCGCTGCTATTAATATGATTTTAACGTACGAAGTGTCAAAGTAAAGGGGAGAGAATAACGAAAACAAAGACATGGAAAATTGACAAAGCATTATTGCAAAACAGGCATTATGCGTTATGGCACTCGTTGGTCTAGAATTCGCCTTACATAACTACTAGTTTTATTTGGATTAGGTGTCACTTTCTATCTCCTGTACCATCTGTTGGTAGGATTTCTGACATCTTCATCTCATGACATTCTTACAAAAGCAATGTCGCCTACCTAAACTAGTATGAATGTATTTGTTCGTCTGAATTTGTGAAGTTACTGTCGTACATCGTATAGTGTTGGTGCAAGAACCTTGAGGAACTCCTGCAGTGAGGTGATTTTTTACCTAAACGTTTAAATTTGGATTTAAATCTATGAAACAGGTCGAGAACTTATTAACCCACTCTAGTATTTGTCTGTATTTTCCTATATACATACCTCTGATATTTTACTGGAATTTACTGCGAACATTGGAGTAATCTTTAGAAGATGGCCTAGTGTCATGTGCTCTAAATCATAAACTACGATGTAGTTCAGCATCAAAGACTCGTGTATTTTAACCTCGTGTGCATTGACTAGAGCTCCAAGCCACCAGTGTGGGTCCAAGTTTACTGGTATGTTTTCCCTCATTTTGAACAAAATAACACCGTACAGGTCATCGTACAATTTTGGCAAGGGAACAATTTGACTAAAAATATTAGATTAAATGTAAGAAGATAACTTTCTTCTTTTAGTAGGAAATACATACGCTGAGTCAATCGCAGCCTTCTGCTCTGGCGATTTGGGATTTGAGGTGTCAAAAATAGCGGTAAGCGTGCTCCTTGACGTATAAAATTGGTCTATCCTTGTCTTTGCTGATTCTAAGTTAAAGGTGTTATTTACTATGTAGAATTCAATTTTTTTAGTACCTAAAAAAACGAATATAAAAGCTATAATATTGTTACGATAAATATTATGACTTATAACTTTAAATATATTATTTCTAACTCATTCGTCTTTTCTAGATCATAAATATACCTGCCGGCAGAAATTTCTAGATCCATGGATCCCCCTACGATATAAAAAAACCTGCTTTTGATGGAATTCCTTCGATGGAAAGTCATCGATTCTTCGCTTCGATGAACCGTCCCCTATTCCCAGTCGTAGCAGTGAAGTGAATAGTGAACAGTGTAGTAGTGAAAGAGAAATAGAAGCCCCGAAGAAGACATCAGAGAGGATGTCGATAGCTCGGCGCAATGGAAATCAACGCGGTTCAACCCGGAAGACTGGTGAGTTTAATATTAATTTTTATAATAGTATTAATCTTAGCTCTACATGGAATGACAAAAAAGGAGAAGTATTTAAAAAGCTGGTTGTGATAATCTAGGTAAAAAAGGAAATAAAAACCAATAAAGGATTACGACAATGAAATAACAAGTGAGAAGAAATTCTGCAACTGAAAAAGAACAGATATATCACAAGTACTAGCAAAACAAGATAGAGGAAATCAAATAATATATATATATATATATATATATATATATATATATATATATATATATATATCTTTATATATATACAGTAAATATGATAGATCATATTATTGTAAACTCAAGACACCAATCATTACTTGGTCGAAAGTAGGGCAAGGGCTAGAACTTTAAACATAAAAAAGAAAATAGGTCCTAAGCATGATCGATACAATGTAGAAAGACTCTAGAAAGACTAAATATCAAACTAGAAAACAGACTAAAGCATGAAAACATAAATAAGGATTTGTAAGGGTGCAGAAACATCATAAAAGAAGTACTTGGCATGGAAGGTAAACAAAGAACAGGAACGAATGACTGATTTGACGAAGAATGTCAGAGGAATATTAACAACTACGTAAAGAAGAAAAGAAAATCCACCAAAGGCGAAGACCCAAAAGGAGTTGTCTAGTCAGTGATGATGATATAGAAGATGACTTTAAGTACAAATTTCATGTGGAATCGATCAAATAAGAATTCAAGTACCACAACACCAATATATTTATTCCATAACAACTTCTTAATCTTTGGCTTATTCAGTTTAGCATTTAAGAGCTGGAGCTATAGCTTGTCTATTTATAAAATATAACATCAACGACATCAATATTAGACTTGACAGAGCTATTAAGTTTGGATAACAAATGAAAGTTTGGAATGGAACATACAGAAATATTATTGTAATGAATATAAGTCATTATTCGGAAGAAGGAAGTATATAAAATTTGAACATCTACTACGTTCTTCTAGTTAATCGATAAAAGAAGGAAAAATCTATTACAATTCTATCTAAAGACAAACGATGTGGTATAGAAATTCAGCAAGTACAAAAAATGAAAAGTATTACTTTTCAATAAACATATTTTTACTTACTTGGAACTTCTGGAAGATGCGGTTGAGTTTTGAACCAACTTTTCATCAACTTCACACTTTCGGCCAAATCTTCCTCCGTCTTGTCTAAATATTTCAATATTACTTCTCTGTGTTTGGTTGTTAGATCGTCCTGAGTATTTTTATCCATTTTGGCAAGTTTGAATTTAGCTGGTTAGGTCATTATTAGCGAATTTTCTATTAAATAAATGTTACAGGCAGTATTTCCGGAACTGAATCGATAATTTTGGATAAAAGATTTTATCAACACAGCGAAATCAGGGTTAAGGAGATAAGACCTGCTGTGGTTGTGTCAAAATTTAGGACGCTGTGATCGCGTGATCGGAATGTGTTTTTATAACAAATCTCCTACGCGTCTGTACACAAATATAAAGCAAATGTGAACAATACTACAGTTAATAGTCAACATATGATTGGTCGTCTTTTAAAATAGTTCTTAAACCAAAGTTAGTTGTATTGAAAACGCTCTAAAGTGAAAAATATATAATGCGGGAAAGCTGTATAATATTCTTCGACAAATCTAGCTACTTTAAATTCTAAATTTAATGAATTTTTATGCAACATTCAAAACCTAAATCCTCAAATAATTCTTATCACTGAAAAATGGTTAAACACCAAATGATCTTGACTCTCTTTATAACATTGATAATTTTTCCCTTTATAGGTGTGATCGTCGTAATCGACTTGGAGGAGGAACTTGTATCTACTTTTTTTCAGAAATTACTAATAATTTTTCTGTTACATCTCTTGATATTATTGTCCCTAATATGGAACTTCTTGGCTTAAAAGTATGTCATAAAAACTCATTTATTTTTTACCTTGTATGTGTTTATCGGCCTGGTGATTCTAGATTAGCAGATGATGAGTCCCTTATCGCATCACTTGATGAACTGTCTAGGCTAGAGAATTTGATTGTTATTGGAGATTTTAATTTTTATAGACATTTCGTGGCCTATAACTGATTCACCTAGTGGCTTAACAACTTCCAAAAATGTATTTACAGATTTTGTATTAAATTCAAATTTACATCAATTTTTCAGAATCAATAATTTACCATCTATTTTGGACTTGGTATTCCCTAATGATCCCCATTTATTAACACATCCCTAATGAGCTCTCCAGTAGGTAACTCAGATCATGCAGTCATAACGTTTCATATTCAGTTTAACTTATAGTATTGTACTCCTAATCCCAATGTTAATAAAACGGTATACGAAATAATTGATTTTGAAAAAGCAAATCGCCAACTGACTGATATTGATTGGAATGATGTTTTCGGCGACAGAAGGAATCCATTTGTATTCTGGGATAAGTTCTTACACATTGTTAATTTCTGCAAAAATCAATATACAAATACCTTCAAAAAAACCATATACAAAAATAACATAAATCCTTATATTAGGAATTAATATATCTGATCAAGTATAAAAGAAAGTTGTGGAACAAATATAGAGGTACAAATCGCATAGAGGATTTACTAATTCATCGAGGCTTTGCCAAAAATTTAAAGAAATCTCTACATAAAGCTCGTGTTGCCTATGAAGAGAGCATAGCCATTAGTAATAACTGTAAAAAATTGTACAAGTATATTAGATCTTCGTTGACAACAAAAGTTTCTATAGCTTTACTGGAAAATGATAATGGGGATATGTCCCAAAATAACTATTAGAATGCCGAAGTCCTCGCCAGTGCTTTCTCTACGGTTTTCTCTGTCAAATCCACTAACCATCAGTTGCCTAATATTACTTCGTCACGAGTTTCTTCTTCCCTGGAAAATATATCATTACTCTTGAAAAAGTTAAATATCATCTTCAAAGCCTAAAAAATAATTTGTCTCCTGCTGTCAACTTAATATCTTCTTTATTTTTAAAGAAATGTTCTGATGCTTTAGCTTACCCTTACTGTTTATGTCCTTATCATTCACCACACATATTTTGCCTCCTATATGGAAAACCGCATCTATAACACCAATTTTTAAAAAAGGGAACAAACTGGATCCTAATAACTACCGTTCTATCAGCTTAACACCTATAATAATTATCTAAGATAATGGAATCTATTATTGCCGAGACAATTTTTGAATTTCTGCAAAATGCACTGGTTATACCAGAACAGCAGCGTAGTTTTGTCAAAGGACGTTCTACAATGACAAATCTTCTCTGGTGTGTCAATGAATGGCCAAGAGAATTAGACAGAAAAGCCCCGGTAGGCATTATTTACCTCAATTTTGCTAAAGCTTTTGATCGAGTTCCAAAGCGAAGAATATTAGATAAATTGGAACACCTTGGTATCCGTGGTCAATTACTGAAATGACTCTGCTGAGGATTCCAGAGTAATTACTACCCCATCCAAGGAGGAAGCTAAGCTAGCTTAAGAAAGGAATGCCAAACATTTAGAATGTTTCAAACAACAAGAAAAGGTTAAAGCGAGTTAATAGCAAAATAAAGTTAATAGGTATCAGCAAAGCTCGTAACAAATTAATTGGTAATAGTAAGTATTTTTTTCTTTTTTACCTTTTACTCAATTATAATTTCAGATTTTTATATTTGTTTAAGAATGATAAACAATTTTGAACAAAGCCACTACCTCCGTATTCGAGTTCGATCTGTTTTTGTACGATCCGTCTAGTTGCATTACCTAAATGAAATTTTCCAAGGGTGAAACCCTCGAGGAAATGAAATGGCTTTCCTGTAAAACGTGGCTTCGTTTTCATCAGCACTGATTGCGCTAATGAAATTTTTCAGTTAATGCTACAAGAGAATGAATCATAAATCTTTTGGTGTAGATTTTACGATGGGTTTTATGTCTGCATTTTTATTGTGAAGATAATGAAAACTAATGTAGGAACAAAAAGCACCTTTGTGAAAATGAAACGAACGCTTGTTTGGTGTGAAAAATTCCCAAGTTATGGTTAAATGATTTGAATATTACGGTGAAATACGTTTTGTTGTTGATGAAATCAATTGTATGTTCAATTATATGATTTTTGAAACTTATACCTGTTTGACCTATATACAGTTTTTGATATTTTGCACAAAGAACCTTGGAACTTTATAGTGCGTCTATGTAGCCGCTTATACATATTTCGGCCTAATAGGTCTCATCAGAACAGTTATTCATAGGCGTTCTATCGGCATAGTTGGGGAGACATGTCGTGGAATGCAAATTTTAGATTCCTCATGCCTCTTTTAACATCCTTATTAACGTCTGTTATACCTTGCAATTTTTTAGAAGGTTCAGATTAAAGCAGAAATCTGAATTGTGTTTCGAAACTATTTTTCAGATTTAAAAATCTGAATTTAGTTTCGAAAATTAGTTTACGGATTTTAAGTAGCTAGAAATTTTGTTTAGGAATTCAAAAATATCTAATATTACTGATGAGAATTGCCGAAACACCTGCAGAATATTAAACAACACGTATTAATAAAAAATTACTCTTGCGATCAGGAAATCAAGTTTAATGTAATATTTTCTTGTATTATGCCCTCTAGCAATAAAAATACTATGAAAAGTGTATGGGTATGCAGGTAGTAGTAGGTAGTAGTTGATACATATTACTGTAATTATAAAGACGGAAAGTACTTTCAAGAAAACGACACCTCGTGGTGGATTACATGAATCATACGAACATCTGTCCAATCAAAGACCGGATGACGGGCCATTTGACCAGATTGGACTCTTCCTGTGATTCTTCCTGCCTTTTCTAATAGATTTAGCAGTGATGTAGATAAAGGGTTTATGTCTAACTATTAAATAATTTTAGATATTCACTTATTTCGCAGTATAGCACACCCAGCGGTCGTGTAAATTAATTTAAGGTTAAAAATAGAAAATTGTATGCGTTTGGTTTTATTAACCGTATTTTTTAAGCCAATAACTTTTTAGGAGAACTAAGCAGTGGCGGCTCGTGATATTTAAGTTTGGGAGCGTAAAATTTGATGCGATTTGCGAAAGAACAGTATTGTTGTAAATAATAACAATACATCCGATGACTTCTCATCAACTGATGATAAAGAAGAAGAAAAGAGAACACTTTCACAATCGACGGATGTATGTATTCTATGTAACGAAATAGAAAGACTACAAGCCAAGCATGACAATTTTAATGTACACAAAAAGGTAAAAGAAATAACGGGTACTTTTAAAAAGCGAACACAAATGAAACTCATAGACACCAATGGAAAATTAATTATTGACACCCAAGAGATGAAAGACAAATGGAGGATGACGGGTCCGGACATACTTAAATCCGAGGTAGAAGAAGCAATAAAACGGATGAAAAGCAGAAAAGATGTAGGGCCTGACAATATCGAAGCTGAATTTTTAAAACTCTTGGAGGAAGAAGGAATAAATTGGATCACGGCTGTCTTCAATAAAATATACAATTCAGGAATCATCCCTGATAAATGACTAGAATCAGAATTCATAGCGATACCTAAAAAACAGTGGGCTAAAAAGTGCGAAGAATATCGAACAATCAGCCTAATGAGCCACATGTTGAAACGGTTTCTTAGAGTCATCCATGGAAGAATTTATAAGAAGTGCGAGGAACAAATATCGGATAGACAGTTCGACTTCATTAACGCAGTGGGTACCAGAGAGGCACTTTTCGGAGTACAGGTACTGATTGAAAGATGCAGGGACGCGACGTATACGCGTGCTTGTTCGACTGTGAAAAGGCATTTGACAGAGTTCAACATCAAAAGATGATAAACATTTTAAAAGAAGCAGGCCTGGATGGCAAAGACCTCAGAATAATTTTAGAACTCTACTGGAATCAGACCGCATACATGACAATTAACGGACAAGAAACATATCACATAAAAATACTACGTGGAGTTAGACAGGGATGTATCCTATCGCCGTTGATATTTAATATGTACTCAGAGAAAATTTTTAACGAGGCTCTTTACGGAATAGACGAGGGCATCCTTCTAAATGGTGAAAGAGTAAACAATGTTAGATATGCCGAGCACACCATGGTGATAGCAGATAGTTTAGAGGGACTTCAGAGGCTAATGGACAGAATAAACGAGTACAGTCAAAAGTACGGACTAAACATTAATACCCACAAAACGAAACAAATGATTATCAGCAAGGAGAATATAAACGAGGCTCATCTATACATTA